TGCCCAAAATATTGTGCCTGTTTCACAATTTTTCCATTTAAAGCATGTACTCTTTTGACAATATTACCCTCATACAATTTATTTAATTCCTTCCATCTTCCCCTTTTTGATGAGTTGTTGTCCTTTTTTGTACTATTGATGCTTTATGTCAGCAATTCCCAACCACACTTTTTTCTATTTCTCTCTATTTTCATTAATGTCCAACCACCTTTTCTTTTTCCCTCTCTATCTCTCTCATCAACCCCAAATGCACCATTGTACTTCTAATCATGCGATTTAAGGAATCTCCAATTTCCTTAATTCCATGAAAAAACTCAAACATGCACGTAATTAAGGAACAGAGGGAGTACTGTATTTCTTGTAGACTTGTACTGTTTGTTTGTACTGGATAATACCATACATGTCTGCTATATTTGTTGATCAATATTCAGTGGTAATTTTTGTCTTTCTGTTTGCAGAAGAAGCTCTCGCGCCTTGCATGCATAGAAAATGAAGAGCTTGGGATGAACATGCTCTCTGAGCAAGATTCAGTGTCCTGTGATAATGATATGCACGGGGGAGAGGAGGATGTTTCGGATAAAGAAGGTGAACTAAGTAGTTTGATTAACAGAATTGAGTTTATGAAAAAAGAACGTTCTAGGTTATGGTTGGAGGAATTCAAGGATTGGATGGATCAGGGATCTGAGAATTGGGTTGATGAAATAAAGAGTAGCCAGGCCGCACTGGCTTTTGGTAACAGCAATTCAAGAGAGACATCTAGCTGGAGGCACATTGGAGAGAATTCAAGGTACATGGAATATATATCAGACACGATCATAAATTCAGAAGATGATAGGAGTACAAATGCTGAGAAAACTAATAGCTCCTTTGCTAGTTCTTCTGCTGGCAATCATGGCTATCAATGGCATCATTCTGCTTCTGAATATGTGGAAACAAAACCTCTAGCAATTGCACGAGCTTTAGATGAAGATCTTCTGAAGTTTTTTTGCCTAAGGGGAAAAATCATCTACAAATAGCAGATGTCAACTCTGTTACACCTGGTATCAGTGAGCATGGCAATGAGTTAAATGCTAGTGTTAATGGTACACCGTTGACTGCCATCAAAAGTATTAAGGAGTTAACGCCATTCTCTGGAACCCCAGTATCACCTCCACACTACGAGGAGGATATTTCTTTATCGCCGTCAGTACTTGGAGGAAGAGTTTTTACAAGTGTCTGCTGAGTCCTTATCTGCTGCTTCCTCTGACAGTAATACTAGCTGTGATGACGAGGATGGACTTGAAAGTGGGCCACCATACCCTGAAAGTTACCAATATACTGGCGAAGAGGGTTTGACTCGAGGTATCAATTGGAAGTTTGCTCCTGAGGTAGGACCAGGATGGGGCTCACTTGATCTTCATACGCAGCAATCCACGAGTAAACTTGGCGTACTTGATAGTTCTATAGAGTTGTTCTGTGGTGATGAACCTCTTCTTGGAAACAATGATGAAGATGCTATCACTTCCAATAAGCAAGTTAATGATTGTCATGAAAAGAAAATCTCTAAAAGAAAACCAAAAAAAAGAGTTGTTTCACTGTCAGATAGCATAAGTTCCTGCAAAGCTGATGTTAAAGATGGGCAACAGAACCAAACTATGAATGATATATATTGCATTGGAAGAGCTGATGGAAAGGTGAACTCAGCACCTGCACATGATGAGGCTGGTGGAATCCTAGCTTACTCAAAGCATGGAGTTTCGAAAACTGGTGACCATATTGAAAATTACTTCAATTCACTTGTTGCAGATACTGCCATTCACGAGACTTGCAAGCAGTACATTGTCTGCAATGGTGTAGTTGAGAGGAAGCCCATGTGGAACGAAAGGTAATATCCATATTTATAGCCATATGTAAGATTTAACAACTCAAGCCTCAATACTTGTTTTCCATTATTTGTTCTAATTTCATTGAAGGACTAAGTATTAGCTACAACCTCTTTCTTTACCCTATTTTGTTGTGGCTGGATATGATGGAAGAAGGGCCCTAACCCTAAGGGCCAACCATACAACTACCACTAAATTGTGACATGTGGCATACATGGATTGTGGGCCCTTTTATTCATGAATTGGTGGCGTGGAAGCTTTCCCACATGACCACTCACCTTTAGTCCTATGCTTTACTTGAGTGATTGCCACTGGGAAATATTTTTACATCAAGTAATGAGTTACAACACTTGGTTAGCTGAAGTCTGAACTTCTATACATACGGCAGTAAGCCATAATCTTATGGATTTACTAGATCCTAAACTGTCACGAGATTCCATAACAAGTCACTGCATGATGTGTTTGGAGGTGATTTGTGATATCTTCAAAATATATCAGCCGTTTGGGCCTTCGACCTAACAATTATTTCTTCTTCTAGGACTTACCTTTGCATTGTATCATAAATTTATTGGTCTCATTGCTTATGTTTTCTTCCTTTCCCTGGTGTTATATATTGTAAGCCTTGAATTTCTTCTTTTCTTGGTCATATATTTTTGTCTTCTGTTGACAAAGTTGACCCTTCAAAGTGCTCAGACATTCTGCAAAATTTTTGAACCTCTCAACTTCAAATTTTATTGACAACTGCAGACCGGTAGCTGTTGTTCTAAGCAGTGAATGGAAGTTGTATGTGATTCTTCTTGATGGCATGCATGATGGGTCAGGTTAGACTTTGCTGTGGTATGATCTCTTTTTCGATGGTTTTCTCATATCTTATGTGCTGTTTTTTGTTTCGCACATGGGTTTGTTTAGGTAATAACTTGAGTCTATTGACTTCACACAAGGTTGAAGACGTGAGAGAGGTTTCGGTTGGGTTGGGTCTTCTGGCTATCTGGTTAGTGTCCTCTTAGCTGTTTCTTTATGCACTGTAGTGTTTCTTTCTCATTAATAGAGCCATTGCTCTTTACTTTTGCAGGGTTTTTATTGATGAGGATACTGCGTATCTGTTGATTACAAGATGCAAGGAAAAAACTAGGCATTTACTTTTCATGATAGGATTAATTGCGCCAGGAGAAATAAATAGATTTTCTGTTAGGAGGTTAAAGTTCTAGTCTATGCTTTTTATCTATAAATAAGCTCAGTATTTGGACAGATCTTAAGGAGGAATGCTTATGACTATTGAAAACTTCATTTGCAGTTTGGATCAGGTTCAGCTGAACTTGTTTGATAGGCAAATATGTGGAAACTTGGGAATCAGCATTTACCAGTATTGTATGGTTTTTTCGGCACAAAGGTAACAGGCATATCTTTTGTGTTCTTTCCCTCACTGTATCTTTTTCTCATAACATTTCAGTACATTCATACATTCCATCTGAACTAACTCAAGGTTATATTCTATATGAACTAATTCAAGGTCTTATGAAATAATCAGAATTGATACTATCCAAATTGGTATTTAATATATTTTGCACTTTCTCTTGATCAAGTCCCTGGGTCCTCTCTCAATCTCATACATGCATGCATCTATTACCCAACTGGGGGTCCAAACATGTATATTAAACTTCCATTTTCATTACCTTATCCTGGTGAGCAGCATTGTTTGTAAAAGCTATGTGCCTTTGGATTTGCCAAGTGACAGTAACCAATGTTAAACTTCCATTTTCATTACCTTTATCCTGGTGAGCAGCATTGTTTGTAAAAGCTATGTGCCTTTGGATTTGCCAAGTGACAGTAACCAATATATGAAATTTAGTAGAAGGCAGAATTAGTGGGTTGAACTTGATGAAAACATTGTTTGGTTTTCCTTAACGTGGTCATTCTTTCATTAATGTTAATATTTCTATTTCCTTCTTTCAATGTCAGTTGAAGAGGATTTAGTTGGTGTGCATTTGTAATTTTTAATACATTGAATCTCATCTTATAGTAGCTATTTAATTGATTTTTTTGGGGGGCTGGAGTACATCATACATTATATGCTTAGTGGACGATATTCCAATAGTAGACCTTTCATAAATTAGGGGTTCTATATTCAATCTACACTTTGCCCTATTTTCACTATTAACACATTCCACTATGATCAATGATGGTAATTACATTTGTGAATGTCAAATTGTGTAAAAAAAAAAAGGGGAGAGTATTCTACAATTTCATTCAATAATAAGTCCCAGTAGTTCATATCCTTCCTTACTCCAATTGCATCTACCAAAAAAAAAAAATAGTTAGCTAGTGATTTTTTTTTCAATTTTTTTTATTGCATTTTGCCCTCATTTCCCTCTCTAATTAACCAAAAGCCACAAACATTGCCATTTATTTAAGCGTTGCTTATATTAAAATCTAATAGTTTGTATTTGGTTTTCTAGGATTATGCAATCACTTATAGTCCTACTATTAACTACAACCAAAATTAACTTTTGAGGATGCTAATAATAATTGGAAATGGTTTCCTAATCAAAAAACCTGTGCCTTGGTTGATGGAGCCCTCCTTTCTTCACATATTGAGCAAAAAGAGGGTTAGAGAAGGTAGAAGATTGGACATAAAACAGGGGAAGGAGGGTTGAGAGTGATGAACTAAACAAGAAAGAAAATGAAGGAGCTACTTCCTTTAAAAACTGACTTTGTCGCACTGGATCCCAACATGTCATAATAACAGCTCCCCGTAGGATAAGGTTGCTGCCCACAGATTGTCTTTTTGAAAGGTGCCAATGCATAAACAGGCTTCAAGGCACTAAAAAGTGATATAAATTCCCTGCGCTTTTGTCTGCCTAATTGAAGTGAGGCACACTGAATAAAAGAGTTAATAATTCTGGAAAATAAAATAAATTTGTGTGGCTCAGTGTGTGCCTCACACCAAAAGATGCATGGCCTGGCTTGTGCCTCAACATCTATCTGTACAATGAAAGTACTGTTACCCTTTTTTTTTTTTTTTTTTTTTTTTGTGAAAACACTGAAAGGTATTACCTTTTTTTCATGGTGAACACACTGAAAGGTGATAATGATTCTAACATCTTAGGGATTTTCATGGACCTGCATCCAAGAAAACAAAATTGTATATAGGTGACAATACAAGGTCCTTAGGTTGATACTTGATAGTCTAACTGTATAACCTATCTCCAAAAAAGAAATTATTAAACTAGACATTAGGACTTGAAGTTACTTCTTCACTTTCAAAGTTGTTGGGGATCTGTCACCCTTATAAGTTAAATTTTGATCTTTGATCACTAATTGTTTGTCTCATTAAAAGCATGTATAAGTGATAAAGTAAAACTATTACAACTTCTTACAACCCATTTGGTAGTCATTAATATATAAAAGGTAATGGGAAATGAATTTGTGTTGCATAAGAAAATGTTATGTATCAAGGCTCAATATCATGCTATTTCACCTCAAGTATCTCATTTTCTTCATAAATCATTTTTACTGTTCATTACCTTCTGTTGAGGAGTGGCATTTGGTGAATTGGAAAAATACAATGGAAAATATAAGTTTAGAGATTACATGGCATTACTGGACATTATATTATTTACTTTTCTTGCTAAATTACACTCAAATATATTCTCAAAACCGTTAATTATTACCGGCTGTTAAGTGGATCGTAAGAATTATATAGATGCTCCAAAAAAATAGTTTCTTTGTCTCTTAATGTTTTACGTGTTGGGTTTGGATGCAAAAGTTATGAATTAGTTGCTAGATTACTTATATATATTGTAATAAACATATGTGGATGGAATGGGAATATAGATGAAGAGAGAAAAGGATTGATTTTTTTTGTGAGAAACTACCTAATAAAACCCAGATATTGTGAGAAACTACATAATATAAAAATGTTGTAAAAAACTGCCAAATAAAAGTTAAATGTCGTAGATTACTACCACTAATCAGATTTCCACCGATAACCTAATTTTCCAGCTTTGATCCACCTAAAAAACACCCCCGAAACCACCACGAGGGTTGGTTTAAGGCTATTTTCTTGGTGGTTGGGGATATTCCGAGTTGGTGGGGGTAGTTTCGGGCTACGATATGGTAATTTTTTGGGGTAAGAGGTGGTAGTTTTGGGTGGTTTCGACTTGGTGGAGGCTTTTTTAAAGCGAGTGTATTGGTTTTGGGGATGAAAGCGTGGTTTCGGGGGTGTTTTGAGGTGATTCAACTCCGGAAAATTAGTAGGTCAATAGTGGAAAATCTGGCCATAAATAGTATTGTACGACATTTTGCTTTTTATTAGGTAGTTTCTTACAACATTTTTTATTAAGTAGTCTCTCACAAAATTTGGGTTTTATTAGGTAGTTTCTCACAAAAAAATCCAAAAGGATTTGATTTGATGGAATTAAAAAAAGTTGTTTTAAATCTAAATAGATTACTTAATTTATTTTTTAAATTTTTTTATTACAAGACAACCTTATTACGAAAGTTAATAATTCATGACGGAGGGAGTAGTTTCGAGCTCTTTTGTTATAACGGTGTATGCAAATTCATTGTCTGTAATTTTAAAGTTTTCCATACTTGTCTTGTAGCTGAGAGTAAGTAGGCTATTGTGCAGGTAGTGCTTAAATGTCCTCATAAATCTACCATGTGATTGTAATATTCTTTCGTTTTAACATTTCTTTTCCTTTCTTTTTCATTAATGATCATATTTCTGCCTTCAATGTCCTTGGGGTTGAGTTGGATAGGACCAATCTGTGGACAATGAGATTACACCTATTGTTCCAATGAGGTTCAACTTCTTTGCAAGTATTAAAAAGACTGCCTCTTGCCAATAAGATTGTTTAAAGACATATTATATTCTTGGCATGTGTTTGCAGTTTACAGGTTATTGAACTTTAATTTATGCTCTAAACCTGTAAATTTGACGAAGCTACCTGTTTTTCCTGTTTCTTTTATTTCCAAGTGGTTAATCATATTTTGTCAAGATTTTATTACTTCGAGGCTTATTTTCATTGTCTTTACTTTCATTTTCTGTAAATCTATTGCTCTCTTTGAAGTCCCGTTTCTTTTTTGTTGGCAGAAACAGAGTGGGTATCCAGATCTCTTTTGTGAGTGGGGGACATATAGTTGTATGCATTGAGGATATCTTTCACTTCAGCTCACTTTCAGCACATGCAGAATGCCACCTCTTATTTCATGCTTGATAGTTGCTGTTCCATTGCTAATGTCTCTGAGATGGTAATTTATACATGATTATCAAATTATATGAATTAAGTTTCTGGATGTGAAAACACTTAGCGTTGAGATTGTTTTGACTAATTTGATTCTGATGGTTTGAAAAGCCCCAATTTACTACATGTTGTAATAGTTTAATTTGGATCCTTGAGATGGAGCCTTTGTATCCTTTTTTATGTAGTGCAAATCCTTTGTCTTACACCTCTCTCAATCTCTTGCCAGATAAGAATACTGGTGTTTGATATAGTAACGGGTTAGGGATGTGTGGTTTCTTTTGTGGCATGATTACCTTACTATTATGTTAGGTTCAAGGTGATCTTGCTTATTAATATTCTGATGTTTTCAGGTCATTGAAGCCAAAGAGAACCTGAGTGTGACGTTGACTCTTAGAGAAAACTCCCCAATATCCTGTCTTTCACCTATACTTGACATGATGAAACGAGAGTTGGATTTAAGAATGAAGTACAATTCCAGGAGCCATGACATGGAAGTTGAAGTGGTTTTCTGCAGAAAGTTTATGCAAGTTTGTCACATTGCTAAAGGCAATTCACAGAGGAATGACATCATCAAGTTTGGCCATAACCTACATTTCATAGTTTGGCCATAAAGTTTTCCCCATCATTAATTCAATGTCTCCCTAGAGCATCTTCTTTTTATGTGAATAAGCTAGTTATTTCTGAGGCTGGCTACTTGTTTTTTGTTTTTTTTTTTTTTTTTTTTTTTTTTTTAGAGTAGAGTAGAGGGGGAAGGTAAGGGAATTCCCTATTCTCTAGCAAATGTAGGTGATGGGGCTCGAACTTGTGACTTCAAAGTCACAAGGTGAGTTACCCACCACGATCTACCAAGCATGTTTGGTTCAAAGTCACAAGGTGAGTTCCCCACCACCTCCACCAAGCATGCTTGGTTCAAAGTCACAAGGTGAGTTCCCCTCCACCAGGCATGCTGGTTCTGAGTTGGCTGTTTGTCCTGAGACATATTGCTTTCAAGGGAATAAGAGAATAAATGTATACTTCCCGCCAGTGTAAGGATGAATAGGTAGGAGATTCTTTAAGACCTGTAAAGTCGCTCTGTAGGAGTACGGATAATAGATAGATCTATCTTCAGTATACTCATCTCCTTTTTTTCTTTAGCACATTGGCTTGAATCCCTGGTGATATCATTCTTTTTTTTTTTTTTTCCATTCCATGATGTGTAATCTACTTATCTCTACCAATTAAAAAGTGGGAATAAGACAAACATTCTGATAAATTGTGGCTTGGGTGTAGAGTCAATGAAATATACTATTCATAAGACATACACATTATTCATTTCAATTTCATCTACTGAGTCAGCCATTTAAGGGAGCCAGCAATTTAGCTATTCTTCTTTTCCAGTTTTGCTTCTCTTCCACTCATTTTTGCTCAACTCACTTCTTCCTCTCCCACACACACAAAACGCTTAATTCTCCATTGAAGCGGGTTCTAAACTTTCTTCTCCGTGGAAGCAACTTCAGAGGTAAGATTTTTTCTATGATCGTTGAATATCAATTTCGCAATTTACGAATTGTTGTGAATTTAATTGAGTCACCTCCACAGCATGTTTCCGTTGTTGATGGGGATGATGCTGAGGAGTTAATTTTCTGCTCAGACTAAAAGGGTTGTTTTGCAGAAAAAGGTTGCTGTTGCTTCTATGCCGCTGAGATTTCGCTTGCCGCTTTGAGTTTGGTGCTTTGGTGGTGAGGTTTTGTTTTGCTTGTCTTTGATATAACTGTCTGTATAGTCAATTTTGGGCTCTTAGGTGGTTTATTTGACTATTTGAGTTGCTTTAACTATGTATAATTACAGAGCCAAAAATCTCATCTATTTTATTTTTTTGGACATAGATTATAATTGTGGAAATATAAGTCTAGGGCCTCTAGGCTATTAAAATGCAACTACATTAAAGGATTATTTTTGGCTAAAATGGCTGCTAAATTGAATCTGCAGTAGTTTTTGGGTTTGTTCACTTTGTTTTCTTTTATATGTTTGGTTTGTTTGTTGGTACATAAAGATTATAATTTTGGAACTATAAATCTACTACTAGAAGATATGTAAAGATAACATTCTAAATTAGACAATCCATCGTATCTGCTGCATCATTTGTCTTCATTGTCATGGTTCTTATCTTCATCATAATCACTGAGAGGGGGTCCATTCGTATTCTGTTAAAGCGCTGCATCAATATTTTAACTTCTTTATGTCTTTGCTGTTGAAAACTATCTTGTATAAAAATAATTTGCGTCTTCCCTACCCACTAATTTCAACTTTCTCTCCATTCAATATTCCATTTGAAGGATGTTTTCTGTTGTTTTGTTGTCTTTTTTGTCAGTTCTCGTTTGTTTATAAGGTCGATTCAAATATTGATTTTATTTGGAATTCTTGTAGTGATGGATGATGATCTTCCACCGCCTCATCAAAATAGATTTGCAAAGAAAATGCACATGTAGTTGGGAATGGGAGATCTGCAGTTGCTGCCCCTGCGCCATATCCAAGGATGCCAAATAATGACATGGAAACACAAATCCATATTATTAAACAAGATGCATACTGCTCAGTTTTGCGGGCCTTCAAGGCTCATTCCGATGCCATTTCTTAGGTACTTAGCTGTTTGCAAATTTATAATTATGTTCAGAATCATTATATGCATTTGTCTTAAACACATTTTGCTATTTTAGTAGGAGAAGGAAAGTTTGAAAACGGAACTAGGGAAAGAGCTGCGGGTGTCAGACGAGGAATATAGGGAGCTTCTATCCAGGGTGAACAGTGATTATATGATTTGTAGAATAAGGTTTGACATATTTTTTTATCATCATTGTTAAAACATGTTTTCAATGTATAAGGTATAATTGTGATTTGATGATGATGATGCTGTTTGTTGACGAGAACCATTTATATTAACTTTGGCAGGGTCGCAGGGAGTGGAGAACGGCAAATGGGGTAAACAGGCATGCTTAGCTCTTCACAACCTGTTCATGAATCTGTACCTAGCCCAACTGTTTCAGCATCGCATAAGAAACAGATAACAGAACAGTCAGTGTCGAATTATCTGTTGATGCACCATCTCCAACCTTGCATCCTAACATGCAGCCATCTTCATAAAATTTCAGAAGAGGCCAACTAGGATCCTGACCCAAAGAGACAAAACTAGTAAGTTTTTGGATTCAAAGATTTTGATAACTAGAGAAATTTATCATGTGCTACTATATCTGCTAGGTCTGCAATGTAGTGTTCCGTGGTTGCTAAATGCTGACAGGTTGAAATGTAGAGGTGGCTTTGTTGTAATGTGGAAATTTTGTTAGTTATAAAACTTATAAAAGAGTAACATATCATTTGTTTGTTTTGTTAATTATTACTGGGCATACAACATGTATGCACATATTAACATTTATTTCATTTTATTTATTTTACTTCAAGTAGATCTACACAGTGACACTCTGAAATTTCCCCATGTACTACAATTAGTTGCTTGTTTGACTAATCACTCTGTTGTTTTATGGTTTTAATTTCCATTCTCATGGAAGCTTGCTGTTCTGCAGACTTTGCCATACCCTTTCCTGCTCCTCTAGGAAGACCTCAGGTCGCCAATCGTAGTACATGAGGCACTTTTGGTGCTAATGACCCTTCTGAAAATGATAATTATGGGAATATTGGGAAAAGAGTATGGACAAGATGGCCGGAAGATAACAATTTCTATGAGGCAATTATAACAGACTTCAAAAAGGTATGGTTTTCTTATTGTAACAACACCCCACCCCCCCCCCCCCCCCCCCCCCCCGAATACAAGTATGGAGAAAAAAGGAAAGCAATCAAACAGAGCCTATCTAGCGCTGCAATGAATTGAGGAAGTTAATTTATCTAGCGCTGTGGCAAAGGATAATGTCTTCAAATTTGTTAATGGGAAAAAAATCATTATAAGCTTTAAGTAAATTTAAAGCATTTTGCATATAATGAATCTTGAAAATTCACATCCTACTATATTTTAACAGGGTCGGCATGGTTTAGTTTATGTATGAACGCCTAACGAAGCATGGAAATGGGTCAATCTGAAAGAGGTAATCGCACTCTCTTTCTGGAGAATAGTTCCTTGGTTCTTTAATTGCGACTGGATCATGCTTTCTATATCTATGAGTTAAATAGTTTTACTTTTTTGCCGGAGAATGATTCCTGAACATGCTGTTGTATTCTGTTTTCTTGCTGCTTCACTTCAAAGCTAGTCTGAGGTGAATGGAAGAATTAATATTCTAAGGAATTTTAATGAAGTACTTTGCTTTCTTTGTGATCAATCTCGCTGCGAATGAATTCTGTTAATTTCTCATACCTTTGTTACCTAACATGCTGCCTTTTTCAGGTGCTACATCAATATGTGGCCTGAACCTTTGGAGTCAGATTTTATTTATGGTAAGCTTTGAGATTTTCCTTAAAACTTCATATGTAAGATGCTAATTTTTTTTTTAATGGTGTTATTTTTGGGACTCATGTATACTTTTCAGCTTCATCATCTATAGGAACTTCAGTGCACGGTTCCTAGAAGCATTTTCTGCAGCTTCTGGTTAGGGATTACAACATTTATATAATTCAGAATAATCTGATCCATTGGTGACATATCTGTGCTATTTGTGTACTTGGTTATAAAAGTTATAGATTTGTAAAGAAATGCTGCTCTCTACACTTAGTTATTGGAAGTGAAAAGGCCTCTTGGTTTTTAAGCCATCTCCCCATTAAAGCTTCAGTCGAATGGCTATGTTTAAAACTTATCCTTACAATGCTGCCGATGAATTGAAGAGCCCATCCATAGCAGTCGGACAGAGTGAAGAGTGCACACTGCGAAATACTTGTATTTGAGATTTTGCAGCTACCTTATTTTGTGCTCAAAGCTTAATACCATAAATATATTTCTGGGTGAGGGTGTAGATTTTCCATTGTTGAGTTTGGCTTGATGATTTGTGACTGTTGAAAGGCGATCAATAAAAGCTGATTTTGAGCAAGTTGCTTAATACAACTTTCACCCATCTTATTCACGGAAGACACCCAGTATAAGCTGATTTACAAAAATTGTAAAGGAAAAATACACAAGAATATTCCGACCTTTTACATGTCTTTTTAAAATAATCTCACTATTGAAAATGTGGGAATAATCTAACTTATAGGTACTCAAAATATTTACTCATAAGTTTATTGATACGAGTAATATTATGAATGGTAAGTGACCGAGAAAATCTGGGAATAGACTAATACTTCGTATATAACTTGTTTTATCAAATGATATTATGTATAAGTTCATTGGTAGGCGTTTTAGCACATGACTTACCTATGAGAGGTCATGGTTAGTGGGATTATTCTCGTTACCCACCAAAAAATATTATACATATAATATATTGTATAAGTTATGACAAATTGTATATTACACGATTAAAGCATCGTTCGTGCACTAAGACAGATATTTAATCAAAACTCACGTCAAAAAGTTAACTTTTTTGAAGTGAGATATTTTGACTTTTTAAGTGTTACCTTTTTAAGTGAAACTATTGAGTAGTCTGAGTTCTTAGGTTGCTATTGTTATACACATGCAATCGATAATTTTTGTAAAGATTTTTCAAAATTGAAATTGTTATAGTTCAACCAAAATTAAGTTATTCTTTAAGTATTTTTTTTAATTAAACCTTGTGATTCGCACTTATTTAATTTTTTTTACATATTAATAACATAGTTGATAATTGGCTTAGATGATTAAATAGTTATTTTTGTTATAAGAGGTTGAGGGTTCAAACCTCTTTATCCTTATATTTTTAGCGGCTAGGGTTTCGAGGGTGAGGGGAGGGGCGACCAACGGTTTTAAGGGGAGGGAGAGCGTTTCCTAGGATTATGCATGGGTGGGGGAAGGTTTTCTGGGGATGGGAGATATTTTCGAGGGGAGCGGTGGGAGAGGTGCGACGGATTCCGGTGAGGAGTGGAGGAGGTATGGCGAGTTCCGGTGAAGTGACTGGGTCTGGTGGCTAGGCGAGTTCCGAAGAGCTGAGTAGAAGGGTGGTGGGTATGGTGGTTTAATGGCGGTAAGGAAAAGGAATGGAAAAGGTTAGAGGAGGGTGAGAAATCAATGATACTACTTTGGGTGAAACTCAAAAATAAAAATGGGTAAAGGAAATGAAAAAAAGTGACAAACAAACAACAAAGGGAATGATGTCAGTTCATTTCCTTTCCCTTTGATTATTAGCCCCAACCAAACGACCCCTTAATCCATAAGAGATAAAAGTCAAATGAAATTTTGTTGGATTTGTCTCATTCGTATGAAACTGGAGATAAAGTCTTTTTAAGACGCATCTTGAAAACCGCGAAAAGTCAAATGGGGCAAAATATTAGGGAGTGAGGGAGTAATATTAATTTTAAAAATGAGACATGTTTATGTGTCAATTAATTTCATTAAAGTTTAATTGTAATAGTCTTTGAGTTAAGGAAAAAAAAAAGAAAAGTCTTAGTATTATCCGTACATGTACATTATTTAAGCTAGTTATATACATATATTGATACAACAAGTTTCTGGTGTGGCCAACCGCACGGTGCAGCAGGGTGCTACATCAGTAACCCCTCTAGTAACACCTCAAGTAACCCCTCAAGTAACTCATCTAGTAACCCCTTAAGTAATCCCTCTAGTAACCCCTTAAGTAACCCTACTTAAGTACCCCCCTAGTAACCCCTAACCAAGTAAGTAACCCTAATCCTACACCACCTCAAAGCCTTAAACTCCACGCCACCACCACAATTCACCGAACCCACAACACAAACCCAGGTCCAACCAAATCCACAACCAAATCGTAAAAAAAAAAAAAAAGAAAAAACAAATACCTTAAAAATTAACAATGGCTTCGAATTTCACTTTAAATATGGCTAAAAAGGCCAAATTCGACCATGAAAACTCTAGTTTGGCCATGAAAACTCTAAGTCTAGAGTTTTCATGGTCGAATTTGGCATTAAATACACCACCCACGAAACCACCAAAAAACCACCACCACCGACGAACGAACCACGTTAGAGAGAGAAAGTTTGAAAGAGAACATGAAAGGAGAAATCAGAGAGGAGAGGAGAGAGGACATATCTTAAAGGAGAAGAAGAAAAGAGGGGAGGGAAAGAGGAGAGAGAAGAATTTTTTTTTTTTTAAAAAAAACGCATATAAAACTTTGTGATATTGATATATACATTATACAATAATGTGTTTTTTCCTTTATGCCCCTGGATATGTTTTGTGAATTTATCTTAATTAGGAGATACAATAGGCACTCATCTTTGCAATATAGAAATTGATAACAATGAACAAATTATCATTCTTTTAATCTTGTTTTTCGATCATAGTTTGGACCTCTTGGAATTTTTTCCAAGGATGCTTTCATCAAACATCTTGTACCATTTCATCATTTCTCCATATATTTCTCCAATTATATAATTTACTTCATCTTCAAATTTCTCATATAGAAATGGCAATAGTTGCATACAAATATAGCCTGCAATAATTTCAAAAATAATTCAATTACAAGTAACCTCATATGTATTGTAATATATATGAATAAAAAATAGTTGATGTTAATCTTACTTGTGAACAAAAGATTTATGGAGGAAATGTAGTTGCCAAGTATTGATAGCATCAACAAACATCCAATTGTCTGTTTATTAAAAAAAATAAAACCCAAATTATGTCACACTTTATAAACCAGAAAAATAATGTGTTTTTTTTTTTGAATTCTGAAATAAAAAATGAAATAATGAAGTTTCCTTACCATAAAGAAGTACATAATATTCTCCCGACATGCAATGTCTAGTAACATAGACAAACATAAGTTTATTCTGGCATGAATCATAGTGGCTACATTTTTGAATGTTGAATCCTGTATCATGATCTCTGGAATCTCAGGAGTTTTCCTACATCATAAGGAGTATATCATAATAATATTATTATTAATCACTTAAGGACATCAAACGACCGTAGTCTGACATGTCTAGTATTCCCTCTATCCTATAATATAGTGTCTGTTTTTATTTTTATAATCAAATTTTTAAAAATAACAGTAGTAACCAAAAAAATTCATTGGTTTAAATCAAAAATATGATCATGTGCTGATATTAGAATCATCTCAATGTTATGTTTTAAATATCAACTTTTTAAATGGTGCATTTAAAAAAAAAAAAAACACATATATTCGTACTTTATTTGGTTGTGGGTACATGATATGGAGTATAAACTAAACAACAATAGGAGAAATGATTTACCAGTTAAATAGTTCTGCTAGAGTGCACCAAATGAAGAACACGAGCAGTGTAGTAATGGATATGTGACAAACAAGGCTTACAAAACTGTATTCAATAACCGCAAATAAAAGCCATATGATAGTAATGCCGAGTAGAAGAATTGCCGACACTTTTGGCTTTCTCCATAACAAGATATCTGCCACTGCAAATGTAAAATAGAAACTTGAGTATCATAATATACTATATACACCAGGAAATTAATTCATAATTTATCTTATTATGCTTATGTCTAGATCAGATATAGAATTTCAATATAATTTAAGATTTTATTTAGGAAAAATTGTCAAAAATAATACAAACTTTGAGCGGTCCGTCAAAAACAAGTCAAACTTTTTATTATTTATAAATAAAACAAACTTTGGGGGGTGCCCACTTTAAACAAGTTATGACCGGTTGGTGACTTGATTAATAGATATTTAGGACATGTGTCATTGTTTTAACGATTTAATTTAATTTTTTTAAAAATTTATCTAATTTTTTTAATTTTTAAAAGATATAAAATAATATTAATTATTATTATTATTATTATTATTAATCTAATTTTTTTCTTTAAAAAAACCAACCCCCTCCCCCACCAGCCACCCCTTCCTCGTCAACCCCTTGCCGGTGCTCCAGCCACCTCCCTCGCACCGGTGGCTCCGATCCCCGCATCCCTACCTCTCCCCTCCCCTCCCCAACTCCATGACAAACCCACAAAACCATTATCCCCCACCACCGAAAACCCCTAACCGCCGCTTCCATCACTCCTAAAACCCTAGCGATTAGGGTTTTCAGTGATGGGGAAGGGCTGGTTGCGGGTTTCGGGGGCAAGACAGGGATGTTTCGTGGTTTTTTCTAAGGGAATTACGTTTATGGTGGTTTGGAGGGAAGGGAATGGGGTTTCCATGATGGTGGTTCGGAGAGAGGGGGAAGGCGAAGGTGGGGTAAGAATGGATGGCGGGCCGGCGTGGTAGCTGGCTGACGCCGCTAGGTTTGGGGGTGGTCATCCAGTTGTTGGTGGGGGAGGAGGGATTTTGGGGCCACAGGGGATTCGATGGTTTAGGCTGCACCGGGGAAGAGAGAAGGAGGAAGCGGGTGACGCGCGGGGGAGGGGGGTCGGCTTCGGCACTGGGGAGTGGGATCTGGGCGCGGCCGGCGCTAGAGGGTAGTGAGGGAGGTTGGCGGTGGTGGTGGCTGGTGGAGGAGATGGTTTTTTTTTAAATATTTTATTTTTGAAGAAAATCTTTACAAATATTTTAATTGTTAATTAAAGTTGGTATTAAAAGTTAATTACATTATTAAACGAATTTATTAAAAAGAAAAAAAATTAACCGATCATTCAGGTTGCAAGTAAAATTACTTGTTTATAGCGAACACCCCCAAAGTTTGTATTATTTAGAGATAATCAAAAGTTTGACTTATTTTTTAGCGGACCGTTCAAAGTTTGTATTAATTTTGACAATTTTTCCTTTTATTTATATAGTAATGATATACAAAGTATTAACTTGTGACACAATTCAACATATTGACTAGCTTTGTAATTTATACTTATAATAAATATAGTCATGCAAAATCTAATTTAAATCGTCTGAATGTATATTTTATTAATGTCTATTTTTTTTAATAATTTTTATATGTCGGTATTTCAGTCTATTAATCATTGTTAATTATGTGTTGGCAAAACAGTATTAAAAGACTCGTGTCATAATATGTCGGTATTTAGGTACAATCATTTCCCATATATGTTTCCACCAAGGAGATACCTGATATTGTGGACGGTACAATTGCTATAGAACCGGAAATAGGAGAGGATTGTACTAATTGATAAAGTATATAAACTGATTATGAGTTTTTAATCATAAGCTTAAGGATTTTCGTTAAGATGCTCCTTTAATATGGTATTAAAAGCCAGTGTGACACAAAGGTCATGAGTTCAAATCTCACTCACCCCCTACTTTCAAATAGAATATTTCGCACTGGGTATGAGGGGACCTATGTCTAACGGGCCTTGGTGCCATAATAATATAGGGTAATTAATAAGGGTAAAGTAGAAATGGTATACAAAAATATTTTCCATAAAATCAAAAAAAGAAATATATCAACTAAAAGAAACTTTTCAAAAAAAAATATGCATCAACTAATTAATATATACAAAATTTTCCAAAGTTATTGGGGATTTGTGGATTCACTTTTCCTTTCCATGCCTACATATTTCATCAAAATAACAGTACAAATATAGATGTGCACACGAATTCCCATCACACTTTATACTATTAAAAGTAACAATAAATAATCATGCCACAACTTACCATCTAAAGCTCCAATCCGTCGTACATTATTTATACAACGTAAGTGTGAACTATTTTATGCATTAGAACGTATTGTTTGGGAGGATTTGGGTTAGTTTCGTTTTATTAAAGCTCAAGATACTTTTTTCATCCTTTAATCAATAAAAGTAGTTATTCTGATCCCCTTCTTAATTCATCTAATAAGGAATTAATACTTGTCAAAAAAAAAAAAAAAAAAAAAAATTAGGAAGTAATACGTAGTATGTAATTAGTAGTATTAATGCATCATGCATGAGTTATAATAGTTAATTATAAAGGATTAAGTTGTGACAAACCTTCTCCACCACCAAGAGCTTCATGAATGGACCTTAGCCGACCGAACAGCCTCGTCGGAGCGGCTTCTTTGTTGTTGTAAATGCTCTCTTGAACGGATGTCATTTTGAAATTCTCTGGCTTGAGACTCTTGCAATAACGGAGCTACTAATATATACAAAGTACTTCGTAATATATAAGTATATAAGATTGTAGTTATATATACTGTACATTGAGGTTCTATACTTTGTATCCAAGAAAGAAATATAGCTAAGTTAGTAATTAAAGAAGAAAGGTATGCCTTGAAGAATGATATAGAAGCATGTTTACTGTTTTACTTTTCAAATTCGATCTCCAAATTCTTAATTGTTCCTTATCCAACATTAGTTCTTTGCTTATTCAGACCATTGCATTACATAATTAATTAAAATCTCATCTAATGGTTTTCTATTGCACGAGTCTTAATTGAACGTTGCCCTACTAGTTTTCTTCTGATTGCGTTACATACATAATTAAATCCCTATCCTTGGGTTTTGTATTGCTTGCATCAATATATTTGGTACCTTTGTTTCTTGATGGTATTAATACAATTAAGTATTAAGGACGAGATCTAGCGAGAGTAAACAGGTGGATAGGTGTAAGAAAAATAATGTGGATCAAGTAAGAAAGAGTGATCGAGTGAAAATATACATGTGGATATTAGAATACTACCTCGTCCATTTTTATACAACATTAACTTTTATCTTTTCAATTAGGACATTGTATTTTAAATAACTCGAGCAACATTTTTTTCTAGTGATTAATAAAATACTACCTTTGTTTCATATTGTTAAATACGAGTTTGGGCCACAGTCACAATCATGAGAGAGAGTTCACTTTACAAGTCTAAGGAGGTTCCATCCCAAAACATAAGGCCATAGGAGGAGTAGCACCTTAGCCTTATAAAGTGTTTAACTCTCTTTTCTTTTCTTAATGTGGGACACTTACATGTGTTGTTTGGGAAGACGCCTCAACACCCCCCTACACATGTAAGGTCTCTTTTCAATACAGCCACATGTGATGTATCATGGGGTCATAGTGCATTTTCACACTTCCCCTCACATGGACCCATTTAATTTAATTTGGCCTAAGGGGACATTAGGTTTTAAACCTATGCCTAGAGGTGGGCATGGGCCGTGTCGGCTCGCGGGCGGCACGGCACGGTGGCCCAGCAGTGGGCCGTGCCGTGAACAAAATTTTCGGAAATCGGCATGAGCATGGCACGGCACGGTCCCAGGCACAGTCATTTGGCCCGCGAGCACGGCCCGCAGGCACGGCACGCGGCACGATCAGGCACGGCACGCGGCACGACCAGGAACGGCCCGCCCGCCAGGCCCGACCCGGCCTGTGCATAACGACTATAAACGACTACTTTCTTCCAACAGCCATAAACGGCTATATTAACGACTACTTTCAGCTTCCTAATTACTATAAATACTTCACTTCTTCCTCCATTTTTTTCCACAATTCATTAACTCATCTATTCTCAAATATCTTATTCTCTAATTCTCTTATTCTCTAATTCCTACTCTCTTATAATCTTTACTTCTAAAAAAAAACAAAAAAAAAAAAACTCACATAATCTTTAGGATAATTAGTAAATTACCACCTAAAAATGTATCTGCTTTTGAATTAAACATCCATTTAATTTTTTATTTTATTTTACCACCCCTTAAATTAAATAATCACTCAGATTACCACCCATTTTATAATTCCGGTGGTTTTCCGTCTGTGGGCCCCACCTAACAGGTGGTAATTTAAAAAATTTCCCCATATTTTCATTTTTTCTCCTTCTTCCTACCTTCTTCAACCTTAAATCCTCCATTTTTCTCTTACCTTCGGACAAATTTTTCTTCTCCCCCCTCCCCCACTTTCTCTCTCCTCCATTTTTTCTATCAAAATGATGAAAAATTCTTCAAATTTAAGCAACAAAGCTTGGAGTATAGCTTCTTTAATGGCGGAGCTCCCTCTTTCTCCTTCCTCTTTTAATTTAATTAACAACTTTTGTAATTAAATCTGCACCCTATCTCCATTTGAGCATGTTACTAACTTCATTATTATTAAACAACATTTTCATCAAGAGAATAAAATTGCCAAGTCTGATTTCAGATTATTCTAGCTGTCAAAATATAAGTATGAGTGAGCATCTTTCTTTTATTCACATTGTACTATATCATTGATGTTGTGCGACAGCGGAAGCAAAGGTCGTAAACAAACAAGAAAACAATAAAGAAATTCAATGCAAACAATAAGAACAACACCAAGAATTTACGTGGTTCACTATCGATGTGATAGCTACGTCCACGGGCACCGAGATCGAATGATTTCACTATAAACTGCAAAGATTACAAAGATGATTCTTGTATTTCTCAAGAACGGCTCTCACTCTCTCTCTCTTAACCCTAATACTGATATTAGGGAGGTTTTATATTAATCCCTAATTAAAAGATACTTGGGCAAAAAGATAATAAAATAAGATAACCTAAAACCGCAAAATCCGCGTTCCGTATTTTTCCTTCTCCGCCCGGTCAGACCGGGCAAGGTCTGCCCGATCGGGCGCGAGAAGAAAACTCCATACGAATGCTTCAACGTATCCAACCCCCACCGCCCGGTCAGACCGGGCAAGGTCTGCCCGATCGGGCGAAGGCTCGCCCGGTCGGGCGAAGGCTCGCCCGGTCGGGCGCGAGAGCAGCTTCTTCAACGAATTTGCCAGGCACCTCTTCTTCTTCCGCCCGGTCAGACCGGGCAATGTCCGCCCGATCGGGCGGACAAAGCTACGAAGTACGAGTCACCTAATATACTTATCAACAATCTCCACCTTGACGAGAACTCGTAGTCAGCAAACAACCCCATCAAGACATAGTGAAAAAACATCTCAAGCCAAACCCGATGCAGGACTCATGCATAAGCCATACATCCCGATAAGTCTTCAACCAAGACCCATCACATACTCGTCTCCAAGTATAACAACTCATAATGCTCCACCTGCATCACAAGCCCCGGGCAAGCTCCACCTTAAGGCCAACACACCTACACCAGGAGCTCCCCAACTTCGCCCCTCAGGGCCTACTACATCACGTAGTAATCAATATTTAGCAAGTCTAAGCAATGTTTAAACTTGCTCAACGGAACAGGCTTAGTGAAGAAATCAGCCGGGTTGTCAGCAGTCCCAATCTTCTTCACCTTAATCCTCTTGTCAGTACGTAAGAAATGATACCTGACATCAATGTGCTTCGTCCGATCATGGTGTACTTGATCTTTAGCTAAGCAAATCGCACTTAGACTATCACAATACACTGTAGCAAAATCCTGTGCAATACCCAGTTCACCTACTAGGCCTTTGAGCCAAATAGACTCCTTAGCTGCAGAAGTTAAAGCCATATACTCAGCTTCAGTAGTTGACAACGTAACTGATGACTGCAATGTAGACTTCCAACTAACCACAGAACCACCCAAAGTGAACACATAACCAGTCACAGACCTCCTGGTATCCACATCAGCTGCATAATCAGAATCACTGTACCCAGTGACCAAGCATTCCTTATCATTCCCGTACACAAGACCAATATCAGCTGTCCCTCTCAGGTAGCGAAAAATCCTTTTCACCCCTTGCCAGTGTTCCCTCCCAGGTCGAGCCATAAACCTTCTTACAACACTAACGGCATGCGCAATATCCGGCCTAGTACAGACCATAGCATACATCAAACAACCAACCGCATTTGCATATGGAACTCTAGACATATAAGACAACTCCTCCTCTGATTGAGGTGACATAGACAAAGACAACTTACAACTAACAGTAGTTGGCGTACTTATAGGCTTCGATTTTTTCCATCCCAAAACGAGACAAAATCTTTTCAATGTAGCTTTTCTGAGTCAAGAAAAGCTTACCTCTAGCCCGATCCCTGTAGATCTCCATATCCAAAATCTTCCTAGCTGCACCCAAGTCTTTCATGTCAAACTCCGAGTTAAGCATCTCCTTTAATCTAGCAATATCAGATTTATTCTTTGTGGCAACCAACATGTCATCAACATATAACAAAAGATAAATCATGGAACCATTATCCAGCTTACTATGATACACACAGCAATCATATGAATTCCTGTCAAAACCTTGTGAAACCATAAAAGAATCAAACCTTTTGTACCACTGTCGGGGGGATTGCTTAAGTCCATACAATGACTTTAGCAATCTGCAGGCATAGTGTTCCTTTCCAGGAACTTCGAATCCTTCGGGCTGCTTCATCAGAATCTCCTCCTCCAAATCGCCATGAAGGAAAGCCGTTTTAACATCCAACTGCTCCAGCTCAAGATCAAAATGTGCTACAATTGACAATAACACACGGATAGAAGTATGTCGAACCACAGGTGAGAATATCTCAACAAAATCAACCCCTTCTACCTGACTGAACCCCTTAGCAACTAGCCTAGCCTTAAAACGTATTTGCTCAGTTTCCGACAACCCTTCTTTCTTCTTGTAAATCCATTTACAACCCACAAGCTTCCTCCCTTCCGGTACTTTTACCAGTTCCCACACTCTGTTCTTGTAAAGAGACTGCATCTCTTCACCCATTGCGGCAAGCCATTGCGCAGACTCACTACAACTAATTGCTTGTTTATATGTGGCAGGTTCAAATGACTCTACATCATCAGCTACACTCAATGCATAACCTGTCATCGCATCAACACAGCAATTTCTTCCCTCCATCTCTTCAATCAATCTAACAGGCTTCTTGATAACTCGTTTAGGCATCTCAAGAATGGTGTCAGGTTGACTAGATGACCCCTGATTAGATTGCTCCACCTCATCCCCAGAGTTAGAATGAGTAGGAGTAATCTCAGGTTCAGGAGTACCCGGCACTGGAACATCAGCATCATCATCAATATATTGTACCCGAGGTAAATCAGCAATGGTAGACTGATGTACCTCAAGTACCCCATCTGTCTGTAATAAATTGTCTCCTTCCCTTCTCAAATCTGAAATCTCTGCATTTTTAATTGAATACATGGTGTTTTCATCGAAAGTAACATCCCTACTAAGAATGACCCGACCCTCCGAAGGTGAAAAAAATTCTAAACCCCTTCACACCATCCCCGTACCCAACAAAACACCCCTTCTTGGCTCGTGGATC